TCACCAGTAACAGATGAAACGACGGTGTCACCAATAACAAATGAAACGACGGTGTCACCACTAACTGAAATAATACCGACAGATAATGAAATGACGACAGCAGGCACTTTACTTCTTTGATTTTTGAATTTCTTTAAAATTTGAATGGTTTTTTTTTTAGTACAATCTACTATTTAAATTAAATAAAAGTTGGCCAATTTTCTGATTGTTTCCAACTGCATTTAAAGAAATCTTTTAATTTCAATGGCTGTCTTCAATTTCTCATTTCTCACTGAACTTTTCTTCAGAAACATTGCTGAAAACTTCGACGATAACTGGACTTATTATTGTTAGTCTTAAGCAAGAAGATGTGACACAGCTATAAAACCTACTTATTGCAATTCCATTTGGAGAGTAATATACTTCAAAATGAATTCTTGCATTAGTTTTCTCAAGCATCCTTTTATCACTTTCTGATATTAATCATTTCAGCCCCAACAACGCTTATAACCGGAAGCACAACCGATTCCAGCCATAATAATTCATTGACCAGAACAGCATCATATTTGATGACGAAAATTTGCGCTTTACTTTCACTTTTATTACATAAATGTTAAATAGGTCAATAAGAAAAAAACTAACTTTTGATGTATTTAAGTATTATTTGAGTTAATTATGCGAAAAGTGTAATTAATTCATTTACTGATTTCTTCGTAATTTTTTTTTGAATTATCGAAAATTAAAGATTTCAACATTTATAAAATGCTAACCATTGCATTTCTTCGCCAAAATAAAACCTACTGGCAAGTAAAATCACCAATGATTTGACTTTTTTTCAGGATGCTTTAAAAAATGTGACTTACCCAAAAAATAGACTCTAGCTTGAAGCATAACCGGAAAATAGATCCCAAATTGAGATTTACCGGAAAATATACCTTAAATATCAGCAATTGGAGCACTTATGTTTGTTGCAATAAGCAGACGTATTAATTTATAAAATTATAATATTCGTATAAAAATAAATGAATATTAATTAACTTTAGAATTTTTGCAATTTTTCTCATACAAACATATTTCAGTTTCAAAATACCTTCCTTGATAATTGATGTGAAGTGATAAAATGTTTTCTAAATAAATTGATTTCAATTTCTTTGCATAAAGAAAAAAGAAACAAGCCATCCTCTAAAAGTAAGCCTTACTTTACTTATTATTTGGAGCAAAGATTAACCATGAGACTTGATCTTATTTTTTGATCAATAAGATAAATCGATTGGTAAAATTTGGCAATCATTTAGTGGTATTTCTCGGGTTTTTCATAATTTCTTACATATAACTTTGTCATATTAGCTTAATCGATCAATTGGTAAAACTTGACAATTATTTGGTGGTATTTTTTGGGTTCCCTAATTTCTTGCATATAACTTTATCGTATTGGCTATAACGCTATATAATTACAAACTTCATTTAATTTCTCTTTGAATAACTAAAATTCAATAATTTCATCATTATATTTATTTTTTTTCTTTATATTTTTTTTTTTTATATTTTTATTACATGAAAACTGCAAATTTTTTCAAACAAATATTATTTGCAATAAATTTTTATGGATTTGATTATTATTTGCAATAAATTGCTTAAGGCAATCATTTTAATGTCCTACAATTACTGGTGTAATTAATTATTTTCATTATTTCGATACTTTTCAATAAATAAGTGATGCTGTAGCTGTCAAATAATCATGATGAAACAATTTCTAACATTGAATTATAATCAACAAATACTAGATAAACTAAAAAGTTAAAAATTGTCGAAAAAATTGTCTACATCATTTTTTATCAAAAAATTTAGTCAAAAAAATGTTTAAAATACTTTTTGCGACATTTTGTGACAAATTCTAATTGTATCGCAATATATCTTTTGTTCTATCGTATATAATCAAACATTGCAAAAGGTGATTTCGAATTAATTCCTTAGCATATAAAATTTTTTGTTTCACATTGCTTCATCTAGAAAGTGCTGTCACATTATCATTAAATAGCTATCATCACATTACCATTAAATAGCTATGATCACATTATCATTAAATAGTTATCAATAAATTAGTATATCATTTTTTTCTTTGCAGTGTATTTACAGTGCATGCAGACATTAGTACACGTACGATATTTCGTAAAATCATATGGTACAATTATTAATTGGTATTACCATCTTTGATAAGCTAATTAATTGATTAGCACATAATGTTTTCTTCGGTTTCACTATCCAAAACTAAATATTTTTACGATTA